CCCCAAAACCCCAAAACCCCAAAACCCCAAAACCCCAAGATCTAAGAACTTTATTGAAAGTCTTGGTTTTCGGCTAAATACTAAATTAAACATTAAGAAGTGCGAAACAATGTTCGTATAATTATAATCTGAGACTTTTAGTGATCACTATCCTCGATTCTAAAGATTCTATTGCTTTCACAAGTCCTAATGCTTAGTTAGATATCTTGAAATTTTATACTTAAATCTTTTTATTCCTGGCTTGGTCAATATACTCTAACTTCCTTGAAGATCTTTCCTTTGTATCTGGTCGTTTACTACCTGTCTTCAAATCGGGGAGCTCTCTCAGGGTATCCTGTTTTTGGGTCTCTTCTGATTCAGAATTCTCATCCTTGCTGTCACTCTCTGAAGTTGGTACCTTCAACACTATTGTTTGTGGGTTTTTATCCCGAGGAGATTTTAGCCTCTTGATCCACTCCTTTTTACTTGCTGGTTCCAGCTTTATACTTCTTCTCTTCTTAATTTCTATCTTTTTATTTGGCAATTGAGAGTTTCTAGAGTTTAATGTAAAAATACCTTCTTTTATATTCCACTATCATAGGACTGTAAACAGACTTAGATCTTTCACGAACTATATCTTTTGGAGACACTGATGTAGGACTCTGAATTGGAAGGGAGCCTTCTATCTTCGGCCATGGAATCGCCTCCTTGTTATCACTCCCTTCCGCTGTCTCGAATTTTGGCTTTGAAATACTTCTCATTGCATTATCAATGCTTTTGTCAGGAAGTTCTGAAACCAAGAATTTAGTGTCTCCTACCTTTTTCTTTAATGTATCTACTGATAACTTCACTCAGTCTAATAAGTTTAATCTTGAGAGGTTCATCCCTTTATAAAGAACATTAGATGGAGAATATGACAAGCAAGCTGCTTTGAATGCCTTAAGAGTTTCTGTCACTTGCCCACTGCAGCTGAGTCAGTTCTTATTCAAAGTAATAGGAGTGATCTCACTCTTTTTATTATACCCTATTTGCTGGGCATTCTGATTTAGCCCCATCAGATAGATAGATTCCCGATCTTTTTCATCTTGTTTTAGCAGATGATAGTTGATATTTATAGACTCAATGAGATTATTTAGCACTTCCTTCATGTCTCCCATCGCGAAATGAAAGTTCTTGCTTACTTTATCATGATAGGATGCTTTGTCAAGAATGGTACTCAAAATTATGTTCATGTCAGTTCGGTTTCTATGGATTGTTACAAAGATTTACCTTTTATTTATCAGTAATTGATTGTCAACATGAGACTGGATGATCAAAATAGATTCCTTATACTCAATAAGCACATTATTTACATGTGCCTTAAACTGAGTAAAGGTGTTATGCATCTCTTCTCGAAGAACAATGACATTGTCTTTGACTTCGATTTTTAGTTCGTCAAAGTCGCTATTTTAGCTCATCTATTTCTTGAGAATGCTTTCTGAGATGCATATAGATATCTTCTTCCACCTTTCTAAGGTCGTTTCTTATCCCAACAATGCCTTTTTCAAGTTCTTTCCTATGAGACCTGACTCTTTTGACCCTTTCAATATTGCTAGGAGAGATGCTTGGCCTTCGTTCTAGAGTTATAATAGGAAAATACGATATTCTTCATAATCTAGTTGACTCTCATCTTGGAATGAGACTTCTTGTATGGGCAATCCTTCAAAACCTTCATGTTTGATTCCCTCTTCTTGTGAGTTAAGTTTTACAGTAGTAAAAGAGTCCTTTGAACCCTTTTTAAATAACTGAATTTGTTTACTGAAGCTTTCCCCAACAATAGATTTATCCAGGAGGTTATTTTTCCTCGATTCTTTGATAGCTTTGTTTTGAAATTCAAAATTCCTTGATTCAAAATTTTTATCATCTAGATATTTAAAAGTGAGCCACACCAGGAGTTTCATCTTCTTTATTATTTGTTTCAACTTGGGACTCTGAAGAATCTTTAACCTGCCTTTGAGACTTTTTACTAATATTAATCTGAATCTGAGGACTCGTCACTAGAGAGTGAAGGCAAAGGGATACCTTGGTATTCAATTTCAGATTCAGTTTCTCTGACTTCCTCTTCAACCCTCTCAGAAGACTTTATATACTTCTGTTCAGTGGATTGTTCCAATTTCTAACAAATGAGGCCAAAATGTACTATTTTAGAGTTGATAGGGCTGACAGCATAAGACTTTGCCTGCTTTGATTTGAACTTCCTGGTTCTTTTAACTGTCTTTGGCCTGGTCTTTTTATTTTTAACCCCCAACTATGGAAATTACTCATATTGCCCACCTTCTCTTTTAATTTCTTCTGCTCTGATGATTTCTTCTGCTCTGACGATTTATTTTGTTCAGAGGATTTCTTCTCCTCAGTAGACTTCTTCTGTTCATGAAGACTTTCTCGTGCTATAAAATAACCCAATCCAGCTTACACATCCTTTTAATAGAGATATCTTGACTTTCCTGGTTAAACTTTACAGCTGTTGATCTTTCTTTTGAGTTAGATTTTACTACAGATTAGAAAGAGGTTACATGATTCTGAATTATCCCTTAGCATGTCCATATTCTCAAAAGAATTCTGTAAGAGTTTACTCATTGAGGCTTACCTTGGAGATCTGCTTTCTTCGAGGTTTCAACGTAGCATTTAAATTTTGACTTGATTTTAAATTAGTTTTATTCCCAATACTTTGGGATGAAATATTCAATGATTTCGAGTTGTTAGATTTTAAAATTCTTGAATCAGTGACTCCTTGTCTGCTATTTCTTTCACTACCCTCTATGAAATAATGAGGCCTCATACCGCTATTAGTAGACCGGATAAACTTGTCTTTAAACCTCCTAATGATCTTGTCAGACACTTTTTCCAAAGTAGTATTGATAATATGTTGGAGAGCATTGAATTCTTTCCCTCCGCTTGGGTCTATCCTATTAAGAATTTAAATACCTTTAAGAAGGTCAATGGCATATTCCTCGAGAGAGTATTTTCCAAGATGTTCTTTAAGATCAGTGTCAATTCTTTCAATATCATCAAGCATGCTACTAAATGTGTTTTCCATAAGTATCGATCTAGTTCAAATTACTTTAGACCTACCTTCTCAATTCTGGGTTTCATTTCAAGCGTGAATGAAGAAATTCTGGATAATGTATCCCTATTGATATCGATTTTAACTTTAAGCAATTTCCTAGAGGGTTTATTGCCAAGTTACTCTTCTAACCCTTCAATACCGCTCTTGTTATTCTATAGGTTTAGGAGTAACCGTTACCATTTGGTAAGCTTCCAGTGTCTCAAGTTTATCACTGTAAAGAGAATGATGGTATTTTATTTGATCAAATTTGGAGGAGTTCAATGATATCTGAGAAGCCACCTTATCTTCCAAAGCTTCTAGTCGAGTTTCAAGCTCACTGAATACAAAATTTCTCTTATGAGATTTATGAAGGATAAACTCCAATTCATCAACCTTGCGTTTAAGGTGATTGTTTTGGATAGTTACCTTCGTCACAAGATCTTTGGTTTCAGTTGAACGATTTACTAAACATTATATTTACGAATTTAGGAAGAATAAAAGCAGAAATATTAAAAAATAGCAAAGAGATTATATAAAATAAAATGAATAATTCTAAATATTAAACTAAATTCAAATATAATTTTTCAAAAAAACGAATTCCAAAAATGCCCAAAACCCTTTCAAACTCCCTTTACCCCCTTAAGGTCTCTAATACCTCCCTCTTATTCCCCTTTTATCCCTTCTGACCCCCTCTTCCAGCCTACCTGTCGGTTCCACCAATCTCTGCAGTAACTAAACCAATGACCACATTCACCTACCTGTCTGACTCTATTCTCGAATCCAAACCAGTCAATACGCCCATCCCCACTGTTATTCGCTTGATTATCTTCCTTTGATCTTTCTTCAGCCATTAGTCTTTCTTATAGTTCAATTTTTTATAGTTGAGATGGGGTTTTGGGGTTTTGGGGTTTTGGGGTTTTGGG